GATGGAGAGCAACTTTTATAACATGGCCATACGAATAACCAGATATTTGCCATTTCATACAATTACACGTCTTTGCATTTAGATCGACAAGCCCATTTAAGTTATTATCCAATACTTCAAACAAAGTGTTTGAACATGGTTCAACTCTCCATGACGTTGACTTCACAACACGTTTCGTTATTTTTTTTCAGTCCATGGTGTAACACGATGTTCCAATGTTCCTGTAAATTTAAATAAATAATACTTAGTAAAATATATTAAATATGATAAGTTACTAATTTAAAGAAATAATACATGCATGGTTTCTTTTCTTGTAGTACCACAGTTGAATAGAGGCTCGAAAAAATTCCATTAACATAGTAATGGGTAATTTTCGGGAATGACGACTTAGAGCATTGATTGATTCTGCACTATTAGACGTCATGAAACCATATCTTGCTCCAAGTTGATGTACTCTTGAACATTTTTCAAACCCGACATCTTCTAGTGTTTGAGCACATTGAGGCAAAACACATCTTAAACAATTTATATTCTTATTAAAATCCACTTTCTGATAAGCTTTTACAGCATTCCAGTATGTCCATTTGTGATTTTTTATACCAGCAGACCTTGCTTTTAGATTTATGTACAAATGAACACCACAAAGTCCATGAAAAGCATCTGGGAAACACCTTCTAACATCGTTGTCAATTGAGTTTGCCCTATCGGATATGATTTTTAGATTGCTAATAGGACCTATGCAATCCCTAAGATGCCCCATAAACCATGTCCATGAATCAGAGGTTTCAGATTTGCCAACCCCGTAAGCTATTGGCAGTATCCCATTATTAGCATCCATGGCTACTGCTAATAAGTTTACTCCATGGTATCGACCTTTTAAATGTGCTCCGTCAACTATAATAACTGGGCACATGCAAGTAATAAACGAACGAATCTACAAAATAATATACATAAGAAATATAATCATTTAAATGTGAAATGCATGTAACTAACAAAAACGAGTCAACAAAATTATATTGATTTACTAACTGCAGTACCAATGGAGATAAACAGTAACTCAAAGCATCCATCTCTATCTGTTATGATATGAGTTATCGACCCAGGATTTTTCAGCTTTAAATTGTGACAATAAGCCATCAATTGGGCAAACGATGCTTCTGGTGACCCCCTCAACAATTCCAAGGCATAACATTTGGCTTTCCAAGCTTGAGAATATGAGACACTAATCTTGAACCGAGCATTCATGTCAGTCATAATTTCATGTCCTCGATATACCCTGCCATTCAAAAACATTAACTCAACCAGAAAACCACTCAACACCTTTTTGTTTGCCTGTCTATGGTGAGGAAAAACTTGGGTTCTTGAACATGTATGTTTATCAATAAAAGTCATAACTTAAAACATTTTGCAATCTTTTATCCTCTTTGCAATCATACGTCACGTACAGTTTTTGTCAATCATACACTTTGTTTCGAAACGATATTTGCTTGATTTGTTAACTTTTAGTTGATAGCCATCTTCCACATATTTCGTATACAAAGCTATCTTCAAGTCTTCCTTTGTATCAAAACAATCATCTTTCTTGATACGAATAACTTTTGTGTAACAATCAACTGCTATCTTTACCAACTCTTCTTCCGGTATCTGAAGTAATTCTGGCATATTCCAGTTATACTCCCGTGGCATTTTCTTCTTTTTCTTTTCTTCGGGGACTTCTTCTTCTTCTTCTTCAGGGTTATATGAATTACAGAATGGATGTTCAACATGTTTATTCATAGTCGTAACTTCCTCCTCATTATCATCAACAACATATTCCTCGGCATCGGCTGTTTCATCATCAAAATTCGGGTATTGACCAATATCAAAATCATTACACGCAGGGTCTGTTTCTTCTTCTGAAACATCATCAAAATCTGAGTATTGGCCAAGATCAAAGTTTGGGTATTGACCAAGATCAAATTTTGAATACTGACTAGTACTCACAATTGTTTTCTGTTGGTTCATCATCGTCTAACTGGTCAATACGAAAATCGGAATTTGGTGCTGAAAGTTGATTGGGATTTGGATTAGGGAAAGGTTGTGGGTTTTGAGATTGTGTTTGATATTGAATTTGGTATTGGAAATGTGGTGAAACAAAATTTTCTTGGTGATGAAATTATGGTGGAACCATTAAATTTTGAGGTTGATAACAACGTTGTACATTGTGAGCACCATAAACTGGGGTTGAATAACTTAGTTGATTACTACCAGCTACTGACCCAACTTCACTACTTCTAGGTTCAACAACATACAATGTAACATCATCTTCTTGCGAAACACTAATGTAAGCAATGAATCGTTCAACATCTTCATTGTCGGTTAACAAATAAACTTTACCTTTTCTTTGATAAGATAGCCTAAATCCACTTAGGGCTCTAAATTCAATTTCTTTGCAACACGTAACATTAGAGTTTCATAAGTTAACTTTTTTAATGACAGTTTTAGTTGAAGATTCATGAGTAAAGGCATATATTGTAAAACACTATGAACATTCTCCCATGACCCTCCAAAACACAAATCTATCCAAACATAATCAACATTAGATGATTTCATTCTACAAATTGTAAATTAATTTACTAAACAAATGAGCTATAAACTAGATATTATCACTAACTTAGAGAAAAACATACATTTATTAAGTTGATAGTTGATAATTTGGGAGAGAAATCATTGAAAAATTATATAGAAATAAAATTATGTAAAAAAATTAGAGATGGGGAAGGATGTCGTTGGATATAGGAACGGATGTCGCCGGAGAAAATTATAGATGGAGATGGAATGAGTTGCGATTTAGGGATTTAGGTTATGAGTTGTTGCTGCTGCGTAGTTTATATACCCAAAACATTTGTGTTGCGAAAATAAAAGTTGTTGCGAAATTAAAATTCGTATTGTGAATTCGAAAATCGAGTTGCGAAAACAAAATTCATGTTGCGATTTAAAAAATCTTGTTGCGAAAAGGAAACTTGTGTTGCGAAAAAGAAATTTGCGTTACGAATTCAGAAATCGAGTTGCGAATTGAAATTCCGTGTTGCGAATTTAGAAATCGCGTTGCGAGAAAGAAATTTTCGTTGCGATTGCAGAAACTGAGTTGCGAATTTGGAAACTGAGTTGCGAAATTGGAGTTCGCGTTGCGAATTTTTTGTTCATTTTCGCAAATCCCAAAAAAGTTGGTTAAAATCATATATTATAAGGCATTTTCGGTCACTGAAGTTATTTTCTCAATTTAAAAAGGGGAAACATGAAGAGAATGATACACATTAGTCAACGATAGCAAGCTACGAGAAGGAAAAAAGTCAAATGGGTTAAAACCTAAACTAAGACAACATTACTCCGCTACCCTAGTTCTAAGCCTTCATACATTTCAATGACAGAAACATATAGAAAGTAGAAGCCATGAAAATTTATCGAGCATCAAGATCTCTCTTATTAGTCGTAATATGCAAGCTCGTGTAGATCTTTTAGCCTGTTCCTCGGAACAATCTTCACTCAAATGTTCAATATATGTCGCCAACCATAGTAACGATATTCGACCACGATTGAAATCAGGCGAGATACCTCCAAGATACTCCTCGCACAACGAACGCCAATCACTATCCGCCATACCCGAAATGGCATCCCCATTTACCAACAGCCCCAGATGTAAGGAAACATCCTCCAGTGTAATCGTACAATCCCCACATGGAATATGGAACGTGTGTGTCTCCGATCTCCACCTCTTGACCATTGCAGAAATAAGATTGCTTTCAAGGTTACAACGCCCTTCATGTCTAGCTATGTAACCGAATGCAACCTCTACTAAATACGACCATACACTACTTGATATCTCTAACTTAGTATTACGAATAAATATGTCTAATATATTGTCATTCCCCTAATTAAATAAATAATATACAAATTAAAATATAAACTAATACTAAATAAATAAATAAATAAAATATTCACAATAATAAAACTAATACAAATTAAATAAATTGTTACTGTATCGGTAAAATGACTCGCGATATGATTTTCATCTAAACGCAACAATCTGCCTTCTATTTTATAACTATAAAACATAAAGAAAAATTAGACAGTAAAATAAAATAATTAACTATTTAATGATTATAACATAATAATAATAATAATTTTACCTTCTAAGAACAATAACAGAACTTACTTGACCATTGCTAAAATGAGTGATAAAAATAAACTATTTTCGTTTTGATATGATTTGAGGGTTATATGAGAGGATATTTATAGGGGGAGACTTAGTAATTAAGGCGGACGGTTGAAGTAATTTTGGAAAGCGCAGATGGTAATTCACGCCTTCGATGCGTGTCAGAACCCATGAAAGATGAGAATGGTAATCCACTCTTTATTCTTACGTGACGCTAGCTCGGACGAACCCTAAGAAAGCCACGTTGTCAAAAAAGGTGTTAGATCAATAAAATTAAGAGGATGAGTGTCTGACAAATAATTATGATTTTTTTTATTGTTTATAAAAACGCTCAATTTTTTTTATATATAGACATAGATATATAGATGTGCTCGTAGCAAAAGAAAAGTTTGTCAGTCACCATCTCCTGTCCGGATATAGCCAGGTGGAACCGGGGGGAAATAGTAATAATAAACAGAAAAAAAGTTAAAGCTTAAACAAATATAGGAAAAAATATAATGGTAAACTATATCTTTAGTACCTCAACTATCATTTTATCTCATTTTGATTATCTAACTATTTTTATTTTTAAAATTATACTTAACATGAATGCTGACATGAAAATTATTTTATTTTTCAAAAATATTATGATGTTATCTTATTATGACACATCAGTGTTACCGCAACATGTGAATAAAACGAAACCAAAATTAAATGTTAGGTGTGTTTTTGAAAAGAAATGACTACAATAGAATAAAAGTGATAGTTGAGATACTAAAAGTGTAGTTTACCAATAAAACAATCGTTCGATCTAGCAGTCATACTCAGATTCTCTTTCCTACTTTGAAACCACAAACTCCCCTCTCTGTTTCAACTTTCACTTTGCATCTTCTTTTGAAACCTTGACGAGTTCAGTTTCTAGGTAAAACAATTATTCTTTGATTTTCCCCAATTTTGAGTTATCTGACGTTGATTCGAATTTATGTTCTTTGTTTTTCATTTTATATTGATTCACTGTTTTCATTCAAAACTAACCGATCTTTTAAATCGGGTTGTTTGATCAGCTTATTTAGATTAAACGTTTCACTTTTCTATTATGTATAAATTTGTTGAATGGTTGTTTATGCAAAGCAAAAGATTTGATAATAAATACAAGAGCTTAAGATAAAAGGGTATAAATCAAAAAACGGTTTGATCAAGAATCTAAACAATATTAGTATGGAGGAGACATTTCTAGTTATTAAATCGTAATGGGTTTTCTTATGTTTGAAGAATTTGAATCGATTTCTTACATTTTATTCCAAATATTTAATCTTAAGGTCTTCCCTTTACCTGCCCTATTGATGGACTTGATGTGTGTGTGTGTTTTTTCGATTTAGTTATGTTAAAATTTCGTTGTTTTTATTTGATTTGTTGGAACTTTTGCAATGTTCTTTATGCTTCTTGATTTCGGCATAGATCTTAGAGAACTTTCTGATTGCAATGACAATAGAAATTGGTGATTTTGTTTTATCGTTATGCATATGGCTAATGCTTGGATGTTCAGGAAGATCTAAGGATGGGAATGCTGGGAACCAAATCCTTTTTTTATTTAGTCCGGGTAATTGCAAGATAATATATGTTCGAAAGACTTCGTTCTTGAACCCGAGACCTCTAGAATAACAAGCATCTTTTAACAATTGAGATCATTTGGTTCGTGCTGGGAACCGAATCCTAGTTCTGTTGAATGTTACCTTTTTAAGAGTAACTGCATGAATTTGTCTTTTCTAATGTTCCCAATCTGAATTGGTTGTTTTGGTGAAGATGATATGTAGAGGAGAGCTTGTTTTGGTTCTTGGATTGTGAAGATGATATGTGAGATCGTCTGGTTTTTTTTGTCATATTTATTTCTGATTTTTTTTCGTAATTACGATAAATTGTTGCTTTTAGTGATACTACTAGTTCTAAATTATCGTAGTTTTTTTGGCTAGCAATGATGATGAGATCCAACTTTCTAGTGTCTGATAGCTTGTATTCAAGTGTAATTTTGAGAAAATGTGATTTTATCTTCATCTCTGAGCCTGAATATTTTTCAATCGTCGTTTTTCCTTGAAGGTGTTTGTAATAAATGGCTTTGGTTACAACTGCTGAAGTGTGTGATGCAAATCCACAGCTAATTGTAGGTGGTGAACTTCGGGCCCTCCAACCGATATTTCAAATATATGGTCGTCGCCCGGTCTTTTCCGGACCAATAGTTACTCTTAAAGTGTTTGAAGACAACGTTTTGATCCGTGAGTTCCTCGAGGAGAAGGGTAATGGCAGAGTTCTGGTTGTAGATGGGGGTGGTAGTTTAAGGTGTGCCATACTTGGAGGCAACCCTGTGGTTCAAGCTCAGAATAATGGATGGGCTGGAATAGTGGTTAACGGCTGCGTAAGGGATGTCGATGAGATTAATGGTTGTGACATTGGGGTCAGAGCTCTTCATTCTCATCCGATGAAGGCCAATAAGAAGGGAATTGGGGAGAAACATGTCCCAATAACCATTGCTGGGACTAGAATCTGCGATGGGGAGTGGCTTTATGCAGACACCGATGGTATCCTCATCTCAAGATGGAGTTATCGGTTTGACTGCCATTTTGTACCTAAAGATTAAATCCGTAGGATGCCATTCCATCCTGGTAAGTTATGCCATTCCACACTGGTAAGCTATGTAATGTGTTTCTGCCATTCCACACTGGTAAGCTATGTAATGTGTTTCTGCCATTCTGTTCCTGAGTTAAGATTTCGAACCACGGATAAAGATGTGTGATGTACTATTAACTCTAGATGATGAATGTATGCTAGTCTGTAATAATGTTTTTGATAAATGAGAATGGTTAATAATTTTGATCCATTGAAAATGGTTTCCATTAGAAGTTATCTGATATGAAGAAAATAACATTTCATAACGGTTGCAGATCCAATGGAGAAAAAGTTCTTCCAGCATTTTGTAACAAGACTCACAATTATGTCTTACTGCTTGAAATGGGGATGTGGCGGGGGACTTAAATCAACTTTTACACTGAATTCATTAATTGACTAACAGTCAATCTATATAAGTAGATGTGATATTTTTATTTATTTAATTAATGTTGTAGTATATGTCACATCATTTTTTTAGTGGTGTGACATATGTCACATTATTAATTAAATATATATAAAAATATTACATCAGCAGGCCATTGGTCAACTAATAGTTTTCATACAACAAGATTGATTTTGACTAAAAATTTAAACATTAAGGGGTAAAATGTTTAAAATAATAATAAGGTCAAAATGATTATTTGTGCAGATGTTGGGAGGTATTTCATCATTATTTATTTTCATTTTCAACATTGAAGTTAAAAAAAAAAAGAATAGGATGTTCAACTGAACACTAATGTTATTGTTTTATAACAAATCGATCCCTTGTCGGCTAACAATCATTACCCTATTAATAGATGACTAATGCGGTACGTTTGAGTGACTGAGTTAGCATTGTTTGGTCACGTTGGCACTCTTTGACTCTCGCTTTAACTCAGCCTTCTCATGTTGATGTTGTTTTTCGTCTGCTTCGTTGATCGATGCCATTTTTTTACTTCTTTTCTTCACTAGTGCAATTGATATGCATAGCTAATCTAGTTTTGCTGAAAAAATGAAGCTTGTTTCTCTTGCTCGACAATGGTGTTTCCAAGCGTGTCTGCTTCGACTTTTGATGGATATCTCAATTTTCATGGTTAGTCCACCGGTGACGAGGGCTCTATACTTCCAGTGTCTTTATCTCTAAAGTTAAGGCGTTGTCATAACGATTTTTGGGCCGAGCTTGACAAGATTTTTGACGTATTTATAAAATTAGGACAGTCGCTGTCAATCATTTTAACGCGAGATTAAAACACAAAAATTCGGTAAGTTTTAATAAAAACTTTTGATTTTACTAAAATATCGATGTTTTAGGTCTGCAAAATTATAAATCATGTTTAAGAGTCAGTTTCGCGTGGAAAAAGATTAGTATCCCACAATGCCCAAAATTAATAACTTGTCAATTACTTTTTGTTTTAAAGTTGGAAAATTAGAGTTTGAGATTTTATTTAATTTAAGATTTGTTATGTATGTAAATTTCAAAAGAGAATATAAATGTAATATGACTGATAATAAGTACCCAAGCACAAACGGAAGTTTCATTATTAATCATAATAAATAAATATTATCTTAATAATTTTAAAATCAGGATGAAAAAGTTCAAAAAGGAGGTTGATATGTTTCGAGAGTTTGTAATGATCATCCTCAAACAGAGACGTGAGATACATTATTAACCCCAAAATAAATAAACAATGACTTATTTTTTAAAATAAATTATGCAGTCAAATAACCAATTGTCATATATTAAGTGTGTTAATTAAGATTTCATCTAAGTAAGGATTAAACTATAAATTTTAAAAAACTTAAAAGATTAAACCTAAAATGTAGGTTCTAATATTAAACCCTAACAAATTTTAAAAATTTATTGAATCGAATAGTTAATTTGGAGCACCAAGCTAAGGTAAAGATCATTTTAGAAATTCTCCTAATTTAGGGACAAAAGTGAAATTAAAACTAAAGTGGATGCTCTAATATTGAAACCTAACAAATTTTAGAATTTTATTGAATTGAATAATTAAATCGGAAACCCAAGCAATGACAGAGATCATTTAAAAATTCTCCTAAGTTTAAGGGCTAAAGTGAAATTAAAACTAAGATAAAGGCTATAATATTAAAACTTAACAAATTTTAGAATTTTTATTCTAATAATTAAAATAGAACCTCAAGCAAAAGCGAGGACTAATATAAACATTCTCCTAAACTTAGGGACTAAACTAAAAGAAAATTAAATCTAAAGGTTTAATTTAAGGTCAAGAACTTATTCTAGGACTAAATTAGAAAGCATGCAAAAAGATAGATGAAAATTAAAATAAATTAAAATATAATAATGAACTAAATTGAAATAATTCGAAATATAAAGCTGTAATTAAAATACATTAAACAAGAGGACTAAAATAAAATAAAACAGAAAGACATGTGCATAAATAAAAAAATATGGAAAGTTAAATGCTAGAATTAAGAAATTGGAATTTAAAGGGCATTAAAATAAAGGATTGAAATTAAAACAAAGAGAGATGAAATGCACAAATTAAAAAGCAGAAAATTAAATAACAAAGCATAAAGGATGAAATTGAATAAAGTAATAATTGGACGCCAAAATTAAAAGACAAACAATATTAAAAATGAACTGAAAAATGTAAAATATCAAAAAAATTACAAGTTAAGGGTTCATTTTAGAATTTTACCCGGACTATAAATAATACGGATCATACCGAGGACGAGTCACCGTGAGGTAGTATGATAGATTTGTAACAAATTAAAAAGTTACTGGTTAGAGTTAAAATTTTACTCGAACCATAAATAACACGGATCATACACGGGACGGTTCACAGTGAGGTCAAAGGATCGATTTGTAACAAATTAAAAGTTAGTGGTTAGAATCGAAATAAATAAAAAATGTTAGGAGATAAATAAAATAAAGAAAACACAGAGGGATTGACCACATAATTTACTCTTAATCAACCCTAAGTATTTAGCCCAAAATTTTTATTATTATTTTAGGATATTTTATCTCTAATCCTAAAAAATTATTAGTGTCTAAACTCACAAACCTTCCCCTCTTCTTTCGACTGCCGCTTCTCCTTAGAACCTACAACCACCAACCTCAACCGTCATAGATAGATATAATTTTACTCTTCGACCACCACCAGTGGTGATCAGACAAATCTAATCCTAATCCGAAATGAATCGGAACTCCTCGATATCTTCTCTATACGCCCAAAATCGAAGCTAAAAAATCACAGAATGACCCCTAAACTTTTTGAAACTCTACTAGACTCATTGATTTCCCAACTCCGACGACACAACGAAGGCTTATAACTCTATCTTCTCCTCCGATGAGATTTCAAATGACACAAGATGAAGCCGAAAAGGCCTCACTATAGGGCTCAAACGACTCAGGTAATCAAAAACTCACCTCTAACTCTTATTTTGAATAAAGACCACTGAAAATGCGGGACAAAAGGTGAAAATACCTTAAAAATTCTTGTTTTCTATTGCTTTGTTTTTCAAATGTAGGAGTCCAACCGTCTACATATTTTTTTTGGATAAACAAGCTTTATTACCCAAAATAGCAGAAACTGCTTCAAAACAGAACAATCAAAGTATCAAAAGAATGGGGAAACCTATTTTCATACAAAAATTAAACTATACCCCAATTGTTACAAAGAGCTAGATTTGTGCTATCATTTCTATTTATGTTCCTATTACTTAGAACAGTTCCAACAATTAACTTAACGTTGTTGATGATTTCTTCATCGCTTCTGCTTTCCCCCCTGAAAATCTTGTGGTTTCTTTCCTCCCAAATGATGTAGTTAAAGCAGCACCAGGAGAGCCTCAAAATGGTAGAGATTAGAGACTTACCCTTCCATGAATTTGTTACCCATTCGAGCATTCTAGACCAAGAAGTGGGATAAAAGCCGTATGAGAACAAGTGGAAAAAAGATGATATATTGTTTCAATTCCATCCGAGCAGAAGGAACAATCAACATTAATGATAAGCCCGAACCGTTGTAATCTGTCTTTGGTAGGTAGCCGATCCAGTATGTTCATCCAAGTTATCATGCTATGTTTCGGAACATGAAGAGAAAACCATATTAGATTATGCCAAGGAACTTTGCTGTTTTTTGGTCGAATCTCATCCCAGATTTGTTTGGTGTTAATTGCAGAAGACAAAAGCAATGTTCTAGCAACAGTACGTAATTTTAGAATACGCCTAAAAATCTAGCTTGCGTTCTGTGGTTCAGGCATGGTCCAGAAATCCTGATTCTTGATAAAATTAGTTTTAGTTCAGGCTACCCAAAGAGAACCTTCTCCAGCAAGAATTTTCCTGGTTAAAAGAATCAAATTTGAACAGTTCCAAGATTTGATATCCTTAAGACCAAGACCACCTTCAGACTTTAGATTACAGATTTTCCCCCAGCTCACCTTAGCTCCTGTAGTTTTAGTGTCCGAACCTTTCCAAAAGAATCTTGAACACAATTGTTCAATTTTCTTGATAATAGATTGAGGCAAGACAAGTTGTCTACACCAAAAGTTAGCAACGCTATAGAGGACAGTCTTGATGAGTTCCAACCTTCCTGCAAAACTCATCTTTTTCGTGGACCACTGGTGGAGTCTAAACTTGATACTGTCAATAAGGGCCTGACAGTCCTTTTTAGATAGCTTCTTTGTGACCAAAGGGACACCCAAGTAACGAACAGGGAGCCTTCTATGTTTAAATCCTGTAGAAGATAAAATAGCTTCGAGGATATGAAGAGGAATTCCAGCCGTGAAGATTTCACATTTTCCAGCATTAAGTTTCAGCCCAGAAAACTCATAAAAGCAGTCTAAGACTGTTATGACTCCCAAAACAGACTCAAGGTTACCTTTACAAAATATCAGTAAGTCATCGGCAAAAGACAAATGAGTGAGTCCAAGATTCTTACATTTAGGGTGGAAGGCGAAAATCCCTTTAGAAGCAGCAGTGTTGAGGAGTTGGGACAAAACATTCATAATTAGAACAAATAAAATAGGGGATAGTGGATCACCTTGTCTTATCCCCTTAGCACCCTTGAAGTAGCCAATCAAGCTTCCGTTGAATGTTATAGAGTATCGAGCATTCGAATAGCAAGCAGTAATCCAATTGATGACTTTTGTTGGAAATGCCAGAGCTTTGAGAACTTCAGAAATGAAATCCCAATTAATGGAGTCAAAAGCTTTTTGAAGGTCAATTTTCAACGCAATGGAGT